GATAATGTGTTTGACATAGGTTGCCAAGCGAAGGTCGTTAAGTCAAATATGTAGACGTTTGGGTTCGTGTTTGAAGATACCGTTTGTGTGTTTAGGTAACGTCCTGCGAATAACAAATAGTTAGTGACAGTGATTAATATTGACTCTATATAATACCTCAGAATAACAGTAATAAACGAATAAATAAAAATTGTGGATATTTTAAATAATTACCAAAAGCCACGATCATGTAATTTCCGTATAAAGTAGCAGTATGTAGTTTCAATGCGGGCGGAGCGGTAATAGCATTGACAGGAGGTGTGGACCAAGTAAATGTTGAAGTGTTGGTATCCAACATTATGAGTTGCGGAAAAGCTGCTACTTCGTTTTCGTCTTTAAACCCACCATAGACGATAATTTTACCATCATTTGCTTTTATATTTAGGAACCATTAGGTACTGTGCTGTGATTAAATACAGGAAAAAAATCACACTCCTTACTCAGCACTGCAGAATGACTCGCACGTCCGTCGATATCGTGACCAGTCGCGACCTTAAAAGCATTGATACAATGTAATTAAAAGCTTAAAGTAAAATTTCTTCATAGGAATAAAACTTACCTTTACCGACCAGCTGTCTGCCTTTGTGTCATACAATGAGATCTAAATGAAATCGTTAAGTTAGTATAATATTGAATGCCGAGAGCTTAAGAAATTTCTAAATGATAAATCTACTTGGTTGATGTCAACAAATCTCAGTGATCCATTTCCTACGTCTTCTCGTCCTCCAATATAGACAATAATACCACTTGGTAATAAAGTGGCAGAATAGTCGTTACGCGGAAAAGGTATTTCGTAACTAGATCCAATTGACCAACTCATTTTAATAGTGTCTAATATAACCATATCATTCAACCACTTTGTGGTGTTTGATCCTGTAGCAGACGAGGTTGAACCTCCAAAAATATATATTTTATTTTCATCGTCAATAACTGCTTGGCATTCTCTCCTGTTCACAGGTGGTGTTCCTGATGCCGTTATTTTTTCCCATGTTTTCGAAGTAGTGTTAAACTTAAGCAATAAACCGGTTTCGTTTCCCGTCGAATCCAACATAATTCCTCCGAATGCAAATATTGATTTAAGCGACTTTCCGAAAACCGCCGTTGACCACGAAATATTGACCGGAACCTTGGAGACGGGGGACAGATCCGTCCAATTTAATGGAGCAGTGTTGTTAATGCCCGTGAAACTAAGAAGGAACATGCCATTATCTGGTTGTTGTGAAGGAAGTTGACCGCCAAATACATAAATTCTCCTCCTCACCAGAACTGCCGAATGTGCGAATCTCGCTTGTGGTGCGAAGGTCACTACGCGCACAATACATATTGAAATGATGAGTATTATTAAATTTTTTCGGCACACAACCATCACGTATCATAAGTACTTGAATTTGAAATAATTAGAAGAAATATTGTGGGTTTAATAATCATGTATAAGGCAATATAAGATACAAAATGCACAGATATGCACAGATGTCGAGATGGTTTTTTTTGTTTAGTAACGGATGGCATTTCTCCTTGAATATAATTTTCTTGAACCGTTTATTTACGCACGTAGTTGCTCACGCTAATCCACATTAGGTTGGCACTTGTCTATATTTACTTATGCACATACAGGCTTTTTTTTTTTTAAATGCAATCGTATTTTCTAATGGAAGAATAGTATGCAAAATATTATGTTCTTGCTTTAATGAACTTTGATGCGCCATTATAATTAATGCGTACTGAAGAATAATTTATTGCGTCATATTTCGACTTACGCCCCATGTGAAATTTACGTTATACGTATACAGTAAAATTCTCTTTGATGACAATGCCTACTTGTTTGCGTCAAGTTTTGTGTTATGTATCCCTTGCAATAAATACTGCATGTGCAGTACTGTATTGAATCGAAAAATCGATCAATAAATTTTCACTTGTCTAATATAATATCGTACCACTTTTTTTAAGTTCAGTTGATCGAAAATAATTTTTGTTATAAATTTTAATTGGTGTAATTCATCTATTCAATTTTCTCTTTAATTGATTCTAATGGATATTTATTCAAGACGTTAATGAAATAAAAATACTGTATGTCGGTATTAGGATCTAAAAAAAATCGAATGATCGTAATTTAAAAAATTTCTGGAAATCGTTTCGTTTTACAGTAGCAAAAAATTTTTATAATTAAAATTTTTCTTTCTAAATAAGTTTCTAAATATTTTTATTGTAATTTATAAAATTCGAATTCAAAAATAAGAACTTTTTTTAAAAAATTAATTTAAAGAAAAAATTGTAACATACGTGTAATAATCGTTACAAATTATTAAAAAAAATACGCAAAATACTGTATATTTATTAGCAAAAAAGTTTCAAGGTCAATTTTTACGAATAACAAGTTTTAAATTTTTTTTACATATTTTAAAACCAAATTTTAAAATTCATAAAAAATCGTGAAATAAACTTGAATAAAATATTAACAAAAATATCAAAAAATTGAAACGATCGATTTTTATTTATTTATTTATTTAAAAATACAAATATTAAATCCGTATACAGTATTAGGATCACGATAATGACAAGCTATTATAAAATAAATAATATATTGTATCAAAAATGATACTTGATAGATTAATTAAAATAATTAATATGATAAAATACTAAGTTTCACATTTTAAAATATATTTTTTATGCTAATTAAAAAACCCATCAAAAATTAATTATTCATGGGGTTCTGTGTATCTACAATAAAGTTATCGTTAGAATCAACAGAACTAGTACTGTACTACAAACACCGAATTACGTGCGAAGATCATACACGAAACGCGATCCCCGGTACGACCATTATAGTTTTGAAAGTTTATAATGGAACGCGAAGAATTTGAATCGTGAGAATGATGCAGCCATAATACTGGTCTAGCGTTTTTTTTTACAATTGAATTTTATTTGTTGAAATAAATCGCAAAAAGATAATCAAAATCGGTTTATACAGTATTTACATGCTTTAAGAACCTCGGGTTAATCACGACCATTGTGCTGTTAATAAGATCACCGCAATTTATATTTAACGAAGAGGATATTTATTTTCGCCTATAATAAAAATAGAAAACTGTTTACAATGTATATGTACGCATTGATTTCGTGAAACATTTATTACTCGTCGGCTTGACTAGGAAAAGGTTTGATGCATTGTGCAAATGATATAAAAATATGAAAATCAAGTCGGTAAAATTCGATATGAACTACTGTATATATTATTTCAAATGTCTGTTGTTAAGCTTGGTGCTTCTTTTTAATGAAAAAAATTTTCCATTTACCATGGTACAATGATAAAAACGATTTTATAAATATATATATATACATCATATACAGTAAATACGAAAAAGAAAATTTATGATTTTCAATAATCTAGTAGTGTTAGGATATCTAATGATCCTATCAAATATATATAATCTATCATTTATGATATATATTATTTTCTTAAATTATTTTGTATCGTGCTAGAATTTTTGACGTTTTCCGGAAAGCCAAAAATTCCACTATCTGTGATCGAAAGCCACTCACCAAATGTCTTTATAATCTCTCCAAAACTTGGTCTATTTGATGGGTCTTCGCTCCAGCATTTTTTCATCAAATCAGCAAAAAATGATGGCGTGTCGTTGGTTATTTCAGGTCGGAGTCCATTAATAACATCTTGAACAAAAAACGAATCACAATTTCTATCATCAAATGGCCTACGTCCTGATGTGAATTCCCACATCAGCATTCCAAAGCTGTATACATCTGATGCTTGTGTGAATAAACAGGTTTTAAAAATTTCGGGCGCAGTGTAAGGTTTTGCTGCTTCTGATTTATAAGCCAGGTCAAAATTTTCGTGTGAACATAAATCCGCTAACTTAATAGATTCCGATATTCCATTAATTCCCAATAAAAAATTCCCAGAATGAATGTTACCATAAATTATCTTATTTTCATGTATTTCGTTAAATCTATAAGAAATTAATTTGTACCAAAAAATAGTAAAATATAAATAAATTAAATATGATAAAAAAATAAACCGTTTCCGTTCCAAATGCATATTGTACTTACCCTTTTGCAATACGGCCTAGTTTTTCTATTTTTTCTTTCCACGTGATTTTTTTAAAATTATTTAATAAATATTGATAAAGGTTTCCGTGTTCTGCGTACTCCACCACGATCATATAAGTGTTTGTATCTACTCTTTTCGTAATCCCCAAACATTTAACAACGAACTCCTCTGTATTTTTAAATTTATCAGTTAGCAACTATACTCAATGGATAAAAATTTTCGCATAAAAATAATTAGCCCTGTTTTAAAATAAAAAAATCAATAAAAGTAATATATCAAACTTACATCTTTTAATAAGTTATTATTAATATTGCGAATGTTTTTAAGTGCCACTTTAATATATTCTTTTGATTCTCGCTTCCAAATAGCTTTAAATACGTTGCGGGATTCTCCTTGAGTTACACACTCGACATTCTGAAATTGAGAGTACGGAATCCATTTATTTCCATTTTTAACAGCTTGCAGGTACCATTGAAACGCCTTTGCTTCATCCTTTTCTGTTCCGATTCCATTTTCATAGCAGTTTCCAAGGTTATATTGTCCAATACTGTCACCGCCCATAGCAGATTCTAAAAACCATTGAAATGCTTTTACATCATCCCTTTCTGTCCCAATTCCATTTTGATAACAATGTCCGACAAAACATTTTCCTAAATTATATCCACTTTTGACTGACTTTAGGTACCATTTAAACGATTCCTCTTCATTTTTTGTAGTTCCAATTCCATTTAAGTAGCAATATCCAAGGTTAAATTGTGCCATATTATACCCGCCTTCAGCGGATTTCAAGTACCAATAAAAAGACTTTTTCTCATCCTTTGCAGTTCCAATCCCATCTTGATAACAATATCCAAGATTAAACTGTCCGATGTAATTCCCGTTTTTAGCTGATCTCAGGTACCATAGGAAAGCCTTCTTCTCATCTCTAGTAATACCAATTCCATTTAAATAGCAACATCCAACATTACACTGTCCGGAACTATTTCCATTTTCTGCCGACTTTCTGTACCACCAAAATGATTCTTGAACATCTTTCACGGTTCCAATTCCATTCTGATAGCAGTATCCAACACTAAATTGTCCTTGGTCGTTACCACCCACTGCAGCTTTTAAATACCAATAAAACGATTTTTCGTCATCTTTTACCGTTCCAAAACCTTTTTGATAGCAAACCCCAAGGTTATACTGTCCTAGACAATTTCCGCCTTCAGCTGACTTCAAGTACCACTGAAATGATTTCTTGCTGTCCTTTGTGACACCAAATCCATCGCGAAAACAATTTCCAACATTATTTTGTCCGTTAATGTTGCCCTGTTCCGCAGATTTTAAGTACCAATAAAAAGCTTTTTCATGATCTTCCGTGGTTCCTAAACCATATTTATAACAAAATCCAAGATCATTCTGTCCCATGTTGCATCCACCAATCGCAGATTTCAAATACCATTCAAAAGCTTTTCGATCATCCCTTGTAGTTCCGATACCTTTCCGATAACATCGTCCGAGGTTATATTGACTAACACTATCTCCACCTTCGGCTGATTTCGAATACCACAA